ACGTTAGAAAACAAAACTTCAAGAACACGGCCACACAGCCCGGAAGACCCACACCAGCCATCCTATGCCGGCCGTGAAAACCTTCGGCAATACGTTATCAATATCAGCAGGTTTCTTGCCTTCAGTTGCAATGGAATTTGGAACAGCAGAATAACTTATCTTTCTTTTGCGAACATGAATACAATTAAGTGTTATTTTGAAATCTGTGCTCTTGAACATCTCTCTGAGCATACGGCACTTATGATTTCACAGGAACCCATAAAGGTATTTGTAAGCAACTGAAGTGAAAATTTCCCATCCCTTCTACCTTCTTTTGCTTAAATGAACGAATCTTTATTAATCTTTGGAAGATTAAGTATTTGGAAACCTAGTATTTGGCCCTCTCTCTTCCTGCTTATAATCTAGAAGCAGTCATTCTATCAGAGATGTTCATGCTATGTTGATACTGCATATTTTGAATGAAAGCATACTTAAAAGATGACTACCAAACCTCTGCTTCAGGTCCTTCATTCCTTATACACAATTGGCTCAACTGCTGATCTGTTTTTACCATCAAGAAACTTATCCTAATCTGCACACAAAATGCACTTTCTAGAAACTTTAGCTCATTAGATCTAATGATCTTGCTCTCAAGAATCAGTACTCTCCAAATGCCTAAACAAGTATTGTACAAAGAAGGGGAATCATGTCTCTCCATGCTAAAGATTTTAGATTTCTTCCATAGCACTGACCATTATTATTTTTCTCCTCTGAAATTGCTCCAGTTTTTCTGTATCTTTCTGAAAGTACATTGCCCAGAACTGAAGTATCTAGATGACATCAGAGTAGTGCAGAATAAAATTAAACTATTACATCAAGTTATAATCAGTGCAAATTAGAAATCCTTAGCCTTTTTTATCTTTGCAGAACTATACAGATGACTTTGTCAACCGAATGCAGAGTTTGTCCCTGAATGCATATCTGAAACAAGATTCTTTTCACATATTCTGTTACTAAATCTAACGGCCACATTTTCCTACACTTAATGCACTTGATTTTTGTGGGGTGTTTCAGTATTTTTCTACTTTTTTCCTTTTTTTTTTGCTTTACCTAAAATGAAAACATAATATTCATTTCTGTTAAAAAACAGTTTGACAGTTTGATGTTTCAAAAAAATATTACTCATCTTCTAATGTGTTGCTAGTTTGCCCAAATTTTATGGTATCCACCATTTCATTAACTCATTGACAAAAAATATTTAAAAAATAGTGGACTCATTGAGTTCCATGGCCTCCACATGAAGTTTTCCTTCTGTGTTTTTCTCTTCCAAAACAAAACTTATTCTATTAACTGGTATTTGATCTATTACATTAACTGGTCAGTGAGTCAATTAATAAACATTTTCTAACAGCCACATAGCCAATGGGGGGGGGGGGCAGCAAAAGTAACTTTCACCACTATCTCACTAGCATCTTCATTTTTTTTTCTTTGCTCATGTTAGTTTTTAGTTCTGTCTGACCAGTCTATGCAAAAATGTTGGCCCATGAACTATATGCATTAAGCCAAAAATCCCAGATACTGGATAAAAAGCTTTGTGAATTTGAATGCTAGACTATTACCCCCTCCCTGACATCTATTGAGCTTCTTACATTCCTATTTCTTTTTCCCAGCCAATCTCTTCTCAATTTAGAAAATATAGTTCTTGACACTTAATATCCCTTGTTAACTTAAAAATACTGTTTTAAAATCTTAGCAAATGGTAGCACCTTGCCTGAGCTTAAAAGCTGAGTGGGATTCTGCATGGTTGATATTTGGATGTGACTACCAGGGAGTACTTGCAAAGGTTGATGGGAAAGTTGAAAAAAAAATCCTAGAATGTGGGACTAGACACAGGAGAGTCTTTATTTTTTAATTATGAAAGCTAGAAAAATCCAGCTTTCTACAAGATCCTTTCCAGAATCTGTATACACCATTAAAGAAGAACAGGGTACTTCACTGTAATTGGACTCTACCTAATGTTCACATTATGAATTAATCCGTAGGTTGAAAGCAATGATTACAGAATGTAGTTGTAATAGCCAGCCCACAGTTTAACTTTAATGCTCCTTAAGAATACCTCAAAGATGACTGGAAGAACAATATGGATACATCTATAAAAAAATATGTATTTCAATGACTTGGTATTTAGAACCATCTGCAAACACTTCAGCTGACTTATATTACAGTAAGATTTTTCCGTCTTTACAGAGAAAACTTGACTAACTTTAGACTGTTATAAATAGGACTTAAAATATTACCTTCTCTAGAGTAGCATGTATTTTTCTCATACCTGGGCTGCAATTCTAAGTTTAATTCTTAGCACTTACTTCAATGGAATATACTTCTAAGAAAATTGCTAGTACCACCATCAGGTAATGAAACATTTGCTAAGTACACAAATGATTACTAACAACAACATTTAGAAATGACAGTACTCATTACTTAGCTGGAGATTATATATATATGGTAATATTCTAAAAGTACAATCTATCAAAATAAATACTTCTGTCTGTATTCACAATAGCATTTATTTAAAAAATCAGATGTATCTAGCTGGACCAGTAGGCTTTTTAATGAAGAAAACCATGACAAAAGCCAGCTGGCTGACTTTGGGCCAGTTATTCTTTCTCAGCCCAATCCACCTCCCAGGGTTCCTGTTGTGGAGAAAACAGGAGGCAGAAGCACTAATGCATGCTGCCTTAAATAAACAAACAAAGGCAAGATATAAATTTAATAATAAACAAAATAAATAAAAATAAAAGAATGGGCTCTTGTTCCTTTTTTGCCCACCAAAAAGTTTTTGCCCAGCATTGAGTTTCACATAACAACTGATTATGTCCACTTATTTTGGCAGTCTCATGAGTTTTTTCCCTGCCAAATGGATTAGGGTTAGGGTTACTGATCGCCATTTGTTACCTCTGCAAATTTATGTACCCATGCCATAATCACAAGGATATTGCACCAATCAATTATGTCCACGCTCAGCAAAAACCTGTGGTGAGCAAAAATGGAACAAGGGCCAAATCATAAAGTATTATATCCCATTGAGAACAATGTTACTAAACCACATATAAACATTGTTAAGAAGTCTTAGTTCATGAAACAAAGTTTGAAATATAGCATGCATATACAATAAGTTACTCTCCTAGTATTTATCATTTCCTCTTATTATACAGAAGATATATATACACTTATGAGTGTATATTTATATTATTCATGCGGCATTCACATTTCTAATCACATATTATGTCCTGCTTCTTTTCTAATTAAAAAAATGTAATTTCACACACTTATCATCAAAAGGGATAAAATACTAGTTTATAAATGATGGCTAAAACTACTTTAGACATGTCCAAGAACCCGAATAATCTCAGTGGCATTTCTAAGTCTTTTTTCTTTATATTAACACAAACTGCTTTTGGATGTTCCCTCAGTTTCAAAAGATTTGCTATGGACACAGAAACTCCTGTCTCTCTCTTCACCCCACCCTGAAAAGTATCACATGGAACTAATTGCATAGAATGTTTCCAATCCCAGAATGTGTAAATTTACTGTGTTTGACAGCAAGTGTGGTCCTTCCCAGCCTTAGTATTTTCCTCTTAAATGGGAATTGTTTTAAATAATGGGGCAGGCAAGTTTATTCTATTTAATTTTTTTTTTGGAGGAGTGGTTTTAAATTCCTTTCAGTTAAATAGAGTTATTTGCTAGCCAGTGCTAAACTTATGCCTTCTAAAGTGCAGTGCAGACATTGTAATCCAACACCACTGTCAAGTTGACAACAATCACTATGTTTGATAAATTTATGATTGGGTGTTATTCCTCTACTATGTGGGCACACTCAGAATGAGACAAATTTGGGACATACAGTCCTTCACAATGCACTGAATCTTAAACCCCTCTGGAAGATGCCCTGACTGACTCAATCAACAAAAACCAAATTTCATATGTAAAAGAAAGATTTTTTTTTTAAGTAAATAATACGTTATTCGGGGTTCTTCATATCTAAAACACCCACCTTGCTTTTTTTTTTTCCCAGGGACAACAGATATGAATAAGCAGATGTAATCAAATGGACTGGTAAATGTGACTGAAGGGTGCAATTTTATACCCGTTCACTTAAAAGCAAGTGCTGTTGAAGTCCTTGGGGCTTACTTCCGAGTAGACATGGTGTAAAGAACAGAATCAAAGTGAAAACGCTAAAAAGGCAGATTTCGGGTCTCCTCGGAAGCGAGCGAAGCAGAGCAGCTGGACTGAGAGGAGTGAAGGCTTAAGAGCGGCGGGGGGGGGGGGGGGGAGAGGGAAAAGCCAACTTCGCCTTCCCCTTAGAAACGGGGGGTTAAACCGCCCCCGCTTCCCCCCCCCCCATCAAGGAACCGGGTTCCTCTGCCTGTCGAGAGCCGCTTGAGAGCGAAAAAGGTTCCCTTCGGCCTCCCTGGTTCTCACGAACCGAAGCAGCAAGCAGACCTGCTTCTAGAAGCTGGAGCGCAGGCGGTGGGAGAGGGAGCTGCGCCCTGCAGTAGCCTTGCAGGCCTCAAAATCACTTCCTTCCTCCCTGCCTTCTTCTTCGGCTGTCCCTCAGTGACAGCCGGGAATGGAGGGGAGGGAGGAGGAGGATGGAGCCAAACGGAGCTCGGGGGA